AGGCGCAAACACGTCGCAAGAATGCTGCGAATCTGTAGCGAAATAATGGAATGTACAGAAGTTATTGAAAGGCAAGAGAGAGAGAGAAAGAGAAAAGCGTGAAAACTTTTTAAATATAAGAAACGTCTGTTTGACGCATCACCGTGATTTCCCAGACACGAGAGCAGCACAAACACGTCCCGCTGACACGTTACTTGGGGGATTTTGGGGGTGAATAGAGCAAAATCATGATATACTGACTTAACTTTTCTCTGCCTTTCAATTGAACTTCTCACGTTCTTGTGCGCCACGCCACAAACTTTCCCTGCAACTTTTGGCCCGCGATGGAATTCTAGGGGTGAAAATTTACTGCACTAAATACTGTGGGGAAAAATTCAATAAATATATCGTGAAAAATCTCTGCGTTCTGTTGCTCATCTTGGGAAACCTCAGCCGACACCGAGAGAGGGTCGCGGGAAACAGAGGTCATGCGATGAGAATATGCAAAGAATTTTGGGCAACTGGGAAAATCCCACGAGTCGACCTGCGGGGAAAACTTTGCATAGCTGAGAAGATACGGAGAGAAAAGTCCGGAGCGAGAGAGCCCAAAAGCAATTATATTAGAGGAATATTTCCCCTGACAGAGGCATTACACTCTGTGTTGTGCAGAAAGTGTTCTGAAATATGCACAAGCACATAAATTCATTTAAGCCTTTATGGCATATTTGATGAGCATCATTTGACATTTTTATCAAAGAAGATTGAATGACGCTGGCGACAGAAAAAGAGTCATTTTTCCCGAGGCGTCGCCATATCGACAAAAAGATAGGGTGAAGCGGGGCTGATTCGTCAAGAGTGTTCGTCCTAAGAAATTTCCTGACACTTCCACAATTTCTGTGAAGAATCACATGACATTTCCTGAACTCTGGCAGTCTTGATAACATGCGTTTTCCTTCTTTTATTCTCCCTTTTTGGGACTTAATAGATTTTTCCAACCTCATAAAGTATCATAACCTCAAATTGAAGAGTTTTTAACCTAAAAAAACGTCATTTTTCCTTGTGTGCTTCTGAAAATTTATGGAGAAACAGTATTTTAGAGATATTTGAAGTTTCCAAGAGATATTTTAAAGTGATTCAATTTTCAATCATTTTTTTTTATGTATTTTGAAACATAACCTAAAAATACATTGAGATATCAAAAAGAATCCTTGAAAGAAGCTTATTTGAAATATTTTAGAGGAAGACTAATAAAAAATGAGCTGCAATTTGCTATTTTAGAGTAGAAAGTCAATCAAACAGCTCTTAAAATAGACAATTTTGTAACCTAAAACAATATTTTAGAGGTTAAGATCAATCTTAAACATTGAAAACTTGTAATTTGCATCAGATTTCATTATTATTCTTCCAGTAAATGCAATTTTTAACAGCTTAGACGCAAGAATAAATGATTTTGAAGGTTATTTAGAGACAAAGTTTGTCTTTAATCAATTACAAACCCTAGAAAAATGTGAAGATTAATACTTTCCATACTTTAGGCTATGGAAAATCCGAGTTTTCCTTCCCGAAGAAGTCCTCTCTTGCCCTACAAAGTTAGTGCGTAAAATGGGAGCAATAGAAAGCAAAGAAGTTGTGGTAAAAAATCAGCCTTTGTTGGCATGGTGCCGATCATTATTGCCATTATTTACAATGAATGCTTCATGTATGTTCACATTTTTCTCAATTGTCTCCCACGCCAGGCGATATGTTAGACATATTCGCCGTGGAGTTAATACCAGCGGGCGGGGTTTATTTAATAATAGATATTTACTTGAAATATATGCAAAAATATACATGGAAAGTTATGGAAATGAGAGCCACACATCTAAATTTGGCCAAACTTCTATACAAGCGCTGCCGTGCTGAGGGTAGAAAAAAAAAACGGGCACAGCAGATATGGCATGTGAATTTTACGCACAACAGTCATCCCCCGCAGTCGGAAAATCCCTTAACACCCCATTTTGTGAATTGTTGAACGCCGTGCGACGCTGAGGATTCATTCAACTTTTTATCGGCCCTCCAGCTCTTAGAGTGGCCCATTTTCCAACCCTCGGCCATTGAATGTGCCTCTTGGCCGTCGATGTTTACCTGCAGGGCTTTCGATTGACAAGTCACCCTCAAGGCGGGGCTGCCATTTCCCCACATTCCATCTCGTCAGCAGATTCGCAACATGTGAATTTCGCAGCTGCAGCGCAGCATAAATTTGCTGGCAATATAGACGCGCATTAAGCACAGGCATTGGATAATCTTTGGAGAATTGTTGCTAATTGCCAACAGTCAGGGTATGATTGCTAAATAGCAGACACCCCATTAGTTTTTAATGGAATTAATTACGCGCAATAAATCATGGAAAACACACCGCGCGACTCGTGGAATTTCCACGATAGTTTAAGAGAGATGTTTTAATGAAATAAATTATTCAAAGGGCCCTGAATTGAGGGGAGTTATTAGGGGTATTAAGCGCGAGAATATTTGAGCTTAAAACTTCCCCGCGATAAAGGATGCGAGAGAGGTGCGCCCTTGATTTAAGCTAACTACCCCCAAAGCCAATATATAATGGATCGGACAGTTTTGATGGGGAATTGTGTCAAACTTACTGATTTATGTCTCGAAAATAAGCGTTCGACGTGGTGCTTTTTTACACGTCGGCATCCTCCAGTGGAATGTTTTATGCTCTCGCGCCCCGAAGCGAAGGGATGAAGAGCGAGAAAAAGTGATTTCATACATTTCTAATGGCCACCCCGTAAATTAGGGCGCTTGGCGATTCTGCACCCCCCAGCAATGCTGGTCAAGATTCTTCCCCGTTTTTTTTTCCTGGGGGTGAACGTGACTTGGTGGCGATGACATATATAGCTGTGTATCAATTAAATTGCACAACCTGTGAATATTTTCAGGACCTTTTTTCACTCTCCCTGGCGCAATTGCCAATAAATTTGATGGGAATTTCACTGACATCAGCTTAAAATAGGGCAATTCTGGCAAATTCTTTCTTCAACTTCTCCATTCGCCTTATTTATGCAAATCCGCATTCAACTTTCCCATAGATTATTCTGTTTGTGTGGCATGAAAAAGGCCAAAAAATCTCTGAATGTAGAAACAAAGAAAAGCCCAGAAACTAACCAAGAATTGAGTTACATTTTCTCTCTGAGATTTTATCTGGGCCGTATTGGAAATTTCACTCACAATTCATTGTAAACTCAAAATCTGAGAAAAATTCACCCTCCCACAAGTCTACAAATTGGCGATGGGGGTGGGGGTGTGGGGGAGGCGCTCTGCAGAGAAAGTCACAACAAATAAAATTGTCGACAGTCGGAACAATGGTGTTCAATGGATAGAATGCTAAATTTCACGGGGAGAGAAGTGGGTGAGGAAGTGAGAGGGTTTGAGTGAAAACAAATAAAAGAGAAATGGAAAAGTTCCACCAAAGTTTTAATTGATTAGCTTTCTTCCCCCCTCCCGCCTTGTCATACTTAATTTTCCACAGTGACTTCCAGTCAAATAAATATATCGCGCATATTTTCGCTGGTGGCTGGGAGAATTTATTACTCTTCCCCTTGAGAAGCCGTGAAAGTTGAGTCGCTTGCAAGTAATTGAGATTGCATCTCTTGGTTCGTCTTGCAATCTGATTGAACATGTGCCGGATAAGCCACGATTTAGCCTTTAAACCATCGATTTAACCGCAACTTCGACTGGATATTAATTAACACTGAAATCCTTCTTGATCACTTGTATTTTGCATTGAGAGAGCAACCAATGCCCGATGACCTTCTGGGCCATGAAAGTTTGGGGTGCACAAGGCAAGGGCCAGACGCTCTTCATCGTCATTACTTTAATGACTGCCAGATGCAGAAGAGGCTGCAAACGTGACTCCATTATCACCCATCACGAGACGGACATAAATCACGACTACAAACAGCCAGCAGAGCCAATTTGTGATAAACACCTTGTTAATGCTATTCACACAATCAATAACTCACAAATTCTCTGTAGCCACTCAATTATCTCGCTACAAAAGGTGGAAAAGGTGGTATTCAAATTCTGCATTATACATCCAAAATTGGGTGAATCCATTACGGCTGAATGGAATTCAATATCGCAAATATAGATTCAACTTTTATCATTACTTTCCTCGCCAAAGGCAGTCAACAATTCAGAGAGAGAGATGGAAATGAAACATCGACACAATGATGACTATTGCAGTTTTGATAATTATTTTTCAGTTTTGAGAATAACCACGCCATGAATTTCATATGCTACATATTAACCATAGTGTTGGAAATCATTGCACGTAAATTTATTCAAACAAATTAGCATGTTTGGATTCAGAATTGCACTGAGAAAAAAATCGAAGGAAAAATCCGATTAACGAAGTTTTTCGTCTTGATCTTAAACTCTGGAGAAATAAAGACTAAAATCAAGATTATCCAACTAAAAAGTAAGGACCAAAAATTGATAATTTAAAAAAAAAACTTCAAGCTTTCTCAAAGCTTGAAAATATACCGAAAAATACTGAAATTAAAAATTTCTCAATTTCTTGATCTTGATTTATTCCAAAATCTTGATTGGATTGAAAATACCTAATATTTAAAATATTTATTATAAAAAAAGTGCAAAAAAATTTTTTTTAGTCTGGACAAAACAAAATAAAATAAAATAATTTAAAAATAAAAATTTAAAAAATTGTTTTTCGTATGTTTTCCCTCTAAAAACGACTTGCTTTTATGACAAAAATCGAAAACTTAAGGTTACGACGATTGGAAATCTTTGGAAACTTATTTCAACAATACTCATTTCTTGGAGTGCAGAATATATACTGAATTAATATGAATAGAATAACAGAAAAAAATTTTTCAGCATGATGCAATTGGTAAGATAAGAGAAAATTTGGAGCTCTTCCAGAGTCCATTAAGCTTTTGCTCAGCTTTGGTGTGCTTTTAGGGACATTTCAGCAAGTGGATAATAAAACAATATACAAAACAGACTCTCATTTTGGCTATTTATTATATCTCTTCACGATGAAAGCATCTGAGAGCCGTTGAAAAGGTCTCTCGAATAGCAGAGTATTTATCACTGCCAAGATATATGTGATTATAGTTACAGCCAAGAAGAAAATTGCCTGCAAAGTGCAACAGATTGTCAGTAAATTATGACTTGAAAGTGGGGATTTTTGTGTGAATTTCAACCTGTTCAGCGTTATCCACTTGCACTCCTTTTTCTTTCACGCCGGCGAGGAAGAAAATCACGAGTGGATTGAGCAGATATGCGGTGTAGGTCAATTTCTGGGTGTGCTGGAAAGCGCCGTGGCTGAAAATACTGTTGATCCAACCGCCGTGGCCGAGATGACAAAGGATGATGGCCACGCCGGTGCCAATGCCAATGGCCACTCGTCCGCCCGCCAGGATGATTGCATACGCCCAGCTGGGCAAATCCCGCCAGTAAGTGACGCTGAGCGAGCCGAGCAGCAGCATTCCCATGCAGCCCCACGCGAAAACCGCGGAAAACTGTCAAACAGATGCATTAGTCGGTGATGCAATTAGTGGATATTTGGAAGTCATTTCACACCCTCTTGATTTTAATGTCGTCCTTCACGATCCTCCGCATGAGATATCCAGCAAAGGCGCCCGCAATGTAGGGATTCATGCGACACCAGAACTTGGCGTACACGATGTTGAGTGTCCTGAAGATGGCGTCAAAACTAATGGGAAAATCGGTGAGACTTTTAATTGGATGCGAGCGCCAGAGTGATTGCATGTCTCACCGAACTGTGAAGTCGTTGGCGAAGAGCGTGTAGAAGGTGAGCGGAATGAAAATTGCTGCCACAATTGCGAATACCAATTTCCCAAGGGCTTTCGACTTCACGAAGATAAAGAGGAGCAACAGGAAGACGATGAAATATTGGAAATCACATGCCAAATACCACGTCCAACCTCCTATGAATTGCAAATGTCGGGCGGGGGAGAGAGATAAGAAAGATGACGCTTGACAATTCCACATGAATTCCCATCTCAACTCACCACATATCATATTCATGTCCAGGAAGTTCTGAATGTAGAGCAAATTGTACCACCACGAGCTGAGGGATTTTCCAGTGCAGGCAGAAAGTTGAGGAGTTTTTTTTACCACCCCCATCGCCGCATGTGTGCAGATAGAAAATGTATAAAAAAAAACTTATAAGTTTTTCCTCACCGGAACCGTGACTTGGCAGTCAAATTAGAATAATTGCGGTCATACCTTTCGCACTGGAAGTCTCGGGTTTCGCTGATGTGGAAGCTCGAGTATGACTGCATGAACTGATTGACAGTCTCCGTCTGCAGGATCGTGGCGAGGAGCGCAGGAGTCAGGCGGACGTATCGATGGAGCACATGCTTGCCAAAAAGCACCACATTTGCCCCCAAGTTGCTGCCCTGAATCTCATTCTGCAGCTCAATGTTGCCCAAGAAATTGTACACCAGCAGAAAAGCACTATAGAAGATGGGCGGAGATTCTGAATGTCGGAGCAATTAATGTGATCGCAATGCATTAGGTTACACCCAAGGGGGAGATAATGTGGTCAGAAGTGGTGTACAGATCAGTGGAAGTATTCAAATACTTACTGTATTCATTTCCTGAGCGGTTAATTAGCGTAATTCTTTGAATTTCTCTTGATTTTCTAGGTTATGTCAATAATCTAAGACAGATTTAATAAATAAATTAGTATTTTAGATCATTCTTATGCTTAAGTCGGAAGTATTTCTGGTTACTGGCTGAATTCAAATTCTGCTAAGATGGAACATAACCTCAAAAATAACACTTCAGTCTTGTTAAAAGCGCATTTTCAGAACTTTCTGACCAATTTTAGACTTAAAATCGGTTATTTTTATACCAAATTTTGTTCTGTGAACCTTAAAAATTGTGTTTTTAAGGTATTTCTTAAAGTTATTTTTAGGTTATGTTCAAGAGATGATGGGCAAAAAAGGGGTTTTATGTTAATGCATAGAGAAATATTGAATGGAAACTCAAGAGCTTCATTTTTAGCAGAGAATTAATGAATTTTACAGGCAAGTTTGGCAATGATGTACAAATTTTAGGCAAACTATCTTCGCCTTGGACGTACCTTAGGGCAAAGAACACATCGACATAAATCACAGCTGACCAAATCACTTGATACAGCAATCCCTGGGAGTTGGCCAGGAAGAGAGATGCTGACTCGCTGTAGTGCAGTCCGTAATACAAGATGTGAAACGACACAATCCACAGACAGACAATGGATCGCACTCCGGCGATGGCGGAGATGGAGTTTGGCGTCGATGTCCGGAAAATGTAGCTCATGTTCTGTCTCAAAGAGAAGCACTCGAGGAGGAGCCGCGCTGAGCTCTTCTTCTCATTCCCATTGCAATCAGACTGAGAAGTGGCGGATAATCCCTGAATTAGCATCACGGTCATGATTGCAGCGACGGAAATGCTGCAAGAGAAGTCATTCATTAACCCCGCTGGTAATCCTCTGGACACTTGCTTGGCTTACGCGAGGGCAATCAATTCCGGTCGCAGCAGAAAAGTCCACGATATCGCTGGCTTCTTCACGTCAAGGACCCTCGGGTGGATGTGAAAGGTGGCGAAGGCGTTGACCGCCTTGGCCTCGCTGTACAACTTTAGTGCCCTGAATATGTCAGAATTGCCACAAGATTCAGGCACGCACAGACCCAAATGCAGCAAAGGCTGAAGGGAATTAACAGATTAGTGTGAAATTTCAATGATTGCCAGTATTTTAGTGATTAATAAAAAATTCATTGAAAGATAAGAGCTTCATTAGTGATCAAAATCTACAAAAATACAATAAAATATGGGAAAAAACATAATGTCATTGAAATTGCGAAGACATTATTTGCGCAATAAAAGCTCGTTTGATGCCTTTTATTACATGTAATTTTAGTCATTAATTTTCAATACATAATTCACAAGATAATTTAACAAATTAATTCACAAGGAGTGCTAAAAATATGTTATATTAATTTAAAACAGTTTTTGCTATCACGAGTCACACATTAAAGCGTGAGAAAAAATCATTACGTGTGTTAAAAAATTCATCGCAAATTTTAAAATAAAAATTTAACCAAATGTGTTTAAAAAAAATCACTAAAATTGAGCATGAAAAGTACTTTGAAGTATAACATTTCACAGTTTTAGCGGGAATCACTCCATAAATAATTATTATTTTGAATTGTTCTTTGTTGCTCTAGGAAATTGCTTGTTTTCCTTGTTTTATCGAGTCAATTTGAGACGTTTTCTGTTCGCTTTCCATCAAATTGCCAATATTTTCTAAAGTTTTTCTCTGATTGGGAAAAAATGACGCTTCTTTGGAAACGTGACTTCACAGCCTACAACTCTCTATAACACAATTTTTCTGTCTCCGCACTTATTCACGTGTTTTCTCAACGCAATTACGCATTATTTGCATTCACTTTCCACGTCAAACATTGCGTAACAATGTGCATTAAGTACTTCGCGAGAAGGTTCGAATATTGTTGGAATTTCCCTATTTGCTGCTCTTTAACAGCTCACCTTGACAATGAACTTGGCGTCGATTTGCAGCGCAGTGCTGATGTTGAGGTGAGCCACGCGGTAGTCCAGGGGAAAGGGTGGCTGTGCGTAGACCAGCTCCTCTGTGGCGGGCGCATCGGTGAGGGTGAGATCGATTGGGTGGGAGATTGAGTTGCACTCCTGCCTGGAGCCCAGCCAGAAGTTGCTGCCCCAGATGAAGGCCTCGGGAGCGGCAGCTGATGCGTCCAGCGCTGCAAAAGTGGGCCAAACACAATCCATTGACTTCCAGATATCTCTCGAGAGAGTGTTGGAGTGCTGAGAAATCTTCTCTCGCAGCTCCAATATTTATTCATGAAGAACTCTCGAGCCAAAGTCAAGAGGCGCTGGAGAGCTCTTTGGGCCAAAGAACACTTTCACGAGGAAGTTTGGCCCCAGTGGAAAACAATGTTGCTGAATTATTCAAAAATTACTCTCTGGAGTGCGTTTCTGTGTGGCCAATCGCCTAGGAATTATTGGCCTCCGCACTCTTGGGCGGGAAGTGTAGGCAAATTAATTCACATCGCCCATCATTTGTGGCTGGCTGAGTTGTGAATTCAATGGGATCATCAGCTCACCTTTCAGTGCCCACAATTCCTCAGCATTCACGCCCTCGAGCAGAGCCCAAAGCTGCGTCCCACACGAGCCACCGCCCACTTCCTGTCCACCCTCGAGCGTTGCATTGAGAATCCCATAGAGAATGGAGGAGTGGATTAGATTGTCCCTTCGCTCCTCACTCACTGCTCTAGTCCTGAACTCTGATGGCACTCCTGCACAATTAATAAGTGTCACTGAGCACAGAAAAATCGACACTGCGACGAGCAGCATCTTAAGATCCGCCCGAGAAGACCAAATCCGACGGTAGCCAAGCGAAGACTGTGCCTCAATTGTGCGGGAAGTAGAAGTTAAAAACACTCCATCGCAATGTGACGCACATAATCGTCTTGAGAAGCTCAAGTGATGAGTATTGAAATGCCGCAAGAATTTTCACAGATTTTCTGGTAACTCCGATGTTTAAAGATCAATTGGCAATTTGATGTGAAAATGCTTGAAAAAGATAATTTCAATAAACCTTATTTATTGAATTGTAAAGTTTATTTCAGTGTCACTTCCCAGAAAGCATGTTTAAAAGACATACACAAGAGCTTGGAATATTACATCACTGCGATCGCGTAAAAAAATCAAATCTTGCAAGATCAGCATAAATGAACACAGGGGAGGCGAAATATGACGAAAAAAGAGGATCATTGAACTAAATGAAACCCGTTCTGTCTGTCAACGAACAAAAATCAAATCTTGTTCTCATTTTTGTTTTTATTTTATTTCATGACAATTTAATTCTTAAGTTTTTCTATAATGTAGTTTGAGTCATTTTCAAATTATGATCATACTTTTCTGTCAAAGTCATAGAACCCGAGTTATGATGGTTCAATGTTTTTTTTGCTTCAATACACTATGAAGCTTTGAATTGAAGGTGATTGTCAGCAGGAGTCGAATTTTCGAGTGCGTGTTTTTGAGAGAAATCTCCCAGGTTATTGTGGTAATCTTACCGCCGAATAACGACGATCTTGACGACGATCTTGACGATGATCTTCGACATCCACTGAGAGACTCTTAATTTCATTCGATTGTTCAATAGCATTCCAATTATTGACCATTAATCATCTTATATCATTCAATTCCTGGAGCGGATAAAAGACTTGGTTATAATATGATTGAATGGGAATTTCCACGAACAGGGAAATGCGTGTGATTAATAAATTTATTTTCATACGTATTCTTTGCACATCTCATGCTTATACTTCAGCAATTACCGTAAATCAAGTAAACAGATGACGTTGAACTGAGGTTATTGAGAGGTTTCCTCTGTTTATCACCTGCTTCAAGAGCATTGACGCACAAATATTGCCTCAGCCATTATTTCCCGAAAACCAGAGAGAGATTAAGTAAAAAAAAGATCCATAATTAGCAAGCGCACAATAATAAATCATCAGTTTGTCAATAATATTCTCCTACTTTCCACCCACGTTTCTGCAATTCAAAAGCACGTGCATCACATATAATATCTCGCTTATTTTGGTCTAAATGCTGACCCAAACAATAATTCTTCGTCTTATGCAGCAACTTTCGTGGCAAAAGTGTCGTCAAAAGTGCAATTAACAACTTCTTGTGCGCACAATGAAGAGTGTTTTGGTGACGGCTGGGATTAAATGAAAGGCAAACATGTGGATTTATTTCACACATTGGCTTTATTTGCTCATATCATCGCTCCCAAATTGACGACACTGAAGACACTCAACAAGCCATCAACATCCATCTCGGCAAATTTACTTTCAACGACCTTCCCAGCCTTGCCACCGCGGCATTTGTCACCCACATCGCCACATTGTGATTGTAGAAAAGTGGTACATTTATTCATTATAAATTAGGTTAATTGTGTCTAATATCTATGCTGATTTGGACTTTGTGCTGCTCCGCAGCATCAGCGTCGCCAGCTTGTGGTAGGGAATCTCGAAAAAGAGTGTGAAGACGAAAGATACACAGTACACGATAATCATCATTCCGACTGTCATGACCCACTGTAAAAAAGAGACACGCGATAAAAAGCCGCACAGGTGTGGAAAAAAGCATTGTGGGAAAATTCCTCAGCATCGCCGAATGTGTTGCAGTGATTCCGGCGACGCGAACTTACGCTGATCACAGGTGAGAAGTGACTGCTGCCATCGCGGAGGCCGTGAATGGTGGAGATGATCAGCGGATTGAGCAGGTAAACGCCATACGACAGCTTGTTGATGTGCACGAAGAGTTTCGCACTCAACATGTCGGTGAACCAACCTGTGTTTTAATTCCGCATTTGAATGCATTCGAGAGGGAAATTGGACAAGAACTCACCGCCAAAGCCACAAATACTGCACAAAATCAGCCAGACGACGGAAAATCCAAAGGCAAAGCGACCCACAGTCAGTAGAATAGCGGCGTGTTGATAAGGAACTGTCCGAACCACCGTGGAATGAATGCTAAGGAGGAAGAAGAACACCGAAACTGCCTTCAGGAGCTTCACTCTTCTCTGTGGAAAAATATTAATTTCTTGTGTAATTCAACTTCACAGCGATGAAATCACACTAAAATCTAACTATTTTGTGGAAAATACAGAGGCGAACAGCAAAAACTCCGGAAAATTTGTTCAATTTCGCGCCATAACATGAATTTTGGCTCGAAAATCAACTCATTTGCTTCACAATTGGTTGTTTTTATTGTGAAAAACATATTAATTTGACTATTCTATCAGTTTTCACGCTTTTTCATATTTTCAAATAAAGTTTCACAAGTCATTTCTGTATTGCAATATTGTCAAAAGACAAAAAATTGCAGTTTTATTAGTCTTATTAAATGAAATGGAGAATAAATATGAAAAATTGCACGAATTTCATTCTTCCAGACAATATGACTAGAATTGCTTTCAATTTAATGCTGAGAAAGTCAAATTGATAATAATACACAATTTTGAAAGCAATATTTTTCAAGTTTCAGTTAATGCATTTTTAAGTTGATGATTTTTTCTGTTAATTAATTTGTCCTAATTGTCTGACGAACAGAGAGATAATTTGGAGGTTATGTTTCCCACTTTTCACGTGAATTGCGCCAAAAATCTCATCGAAAGTGAAAAAAGCTTGGCGAAAAATAGTGTAATTCTTTCATAAACCACTCGAAAGATTCTCAAAATAGGTCAATTTCTGTGTAATTTCATTGCAGATCTCAATCACTTGAACTGTGGTGTAAGTATTGAATTTTCCCCCACGAAATCTCACTCCATCAATGCTCACAATATTACTTTTCCCACTTACTATGTAATCCCAACACTTCAATATCTCTCCTCCTGATGCGAAATGCACACTTGGAGCATCCATTGAATGTGACACACTCAGAGGTAATAACACTTTTCCACGTGGAACCGCCACTTACCGGGCTTATGTTGACTTTTCCACTGCGGGAAATGAGATACCAGCCAGCAAATATGCCCGCAATATAGGGATGAATTCGATTCCAGGGCGCCATGTACAGTTCATTGCCGGTGTTGTAAATCACATCGAAGCTGCAAGAGTGACCGCAGAAGGGTTAAGAGCAAGGGGAAGATATTATGGTCTGTTTCAGCAAAGTATTTCGCTAAGAAAAATCAATTTATTACGTTTTCTAGGTTATGAAATAACCCCAAAATCATCAAATTTGTGTTAAAACTGGGAATATTTCGTGTTTTCTTGAGCAAAACTTAGCATTTGTCTTCAAAATAACTCCATATTGATTGAGAAAAGGCCTAAATGTCAATTATAACCTCAAAATAATGTCCCTTTGCTGAGTTATTTCCGCGATTTGAGCTTAAAAGTGACAAATTCAGCCTCATTATCTAGTAAAAATATTGTGATAATCTCTATATTTACAGATTTACGGGCTTAAAAGGATTTAAATTAGTCTAATTAGTATTTGAAGGTTGAATTCATAACCTCACAATTTGATAAACCTCTTGAAAGAGTCTAAAAAGCGATGGAAAATGTCTTAACTGTCTTGCAGAAGTGTCTCAAGTGTTAAAAATTCTGCACAGATGCTGCGAAAGTGTCTGGAAATGGTGTACAGATTTAGGGCACATTATCGCCCCCTTGGTTAGGAGCGGGACGTGATTGAGTGACCAAGCGAGGAGTTTACTCACGAGCACTGAAAGCGATTCCGCCAGTGGCTGATCAGAGACACGATGAAGACGCCAGTGGTGAAGCCGAGGAAGATCTTCTTGCACAGCTGAGGATTCCTACGGCGAGAGCATTGGAATGACCTTCTTCCGGAGATTGCAAATTTCACTCACTTGGCATAGATAAATAGGAGAATGGTGAAGATGACTGAGAACTGCATTTCGCATGCAATTGACCAACCCCAGTTCATGCACAGTTCGTCCTTATCGAAGAAATTGTGGATGTAGAGCACGTTTCGCCACCAATATCTGGGGGTTGAGAGAGAGAGAGGGGGTGAAAGGGTAATTTATTGGTCACTGGGAAAATTGCTTGGAGTTTGAAGTGTGATAAACACGGTGAATTGGAGACAAAATAAACCTCTGGCAAGTCAAATCGTAGCGCTCGTGAATCCAAAATTGCGAAACATCCATCAGATATGCTGTGATGACTTCGCCAAACAGGCACACGACGAAGAACAGCGGCGAGAGTCTGAAAGGCAAAGGAATTTGCAATGTTTATGCAAAATTATGCTCAATACTTATTACTTAAATGAACGATTTTTCCTCTCTTAAATTCCAATCGCTCAATTGTGAACAAAAACCCATTTTCAAACTGTGTTTGATAAAATGTAAATAACCGACATGTTTGGACTTTTAATGAACTTTCCGGAATTGTTGATTAGTGCTTTGCAAAAGTGCTTATTTTTCGCTTTTCCTCTCCCACTGACGCCACATCAAACTGAGAGGAAAACTTTCAGCAAAAAAGCATTCCTCACTCTCTCTCTGGACTGCAATTCAGAAAAGCCACACTTTGGCTTCCGGTGCTTGATTTCCCTGGGCGATTTCTAATTAAGTGTGCCTCAGACACTAACCGAGAGGAGATTTAGGCAGTTTATAGCCACACTCAGTCCCAAAAGAGGCTTAGAAAACAACATTTTAATGGAGAAAAGACGTCAAAAGGATCCGATTGCTGTTAAATCAGGCATTTAAATAAAGAAAATAGAGTATTTTTCCCCCAATTAGCCTATTTTTGTCTATTTTGACCGACATTTCGCGGCGCCACGTGTCTAGTGTTAAGACCCAGCTTCGATCAAATCACGAATTTCGACGGAATTTCAACGCGATTTGCACTGAAATTTGAATGAGAAGAGAATTCATTCATAACTGAAATTAGTATGTTTCAATACAAGCACAAATATTCGTTTCAGATTAGATTGTGGAGTGTGAATAATACATGCAATTGAGAGCTTTCAG